CAAGAAAGAGAGGGTTCATCCTATAAATATCCCACATAAAAGATTTAGGTGAGATGATAAAAGTGAAAAAAAAAATCACGCCCTTGAATGTTAGTGTTGAAATAGTCATCAAGAAAACATGCAATCTATAACTCATCAAATTGCCAAAACTAACAACCACACCCGTTAATGCAAACTGATCTAAACATTGTGCATGACATCAAAATTATGGACATACAACTAAAAATTGCATAAAACTCTCAGAATAATAGAAGATATTGTTCTAGGTCTCTAAACTGATTTATCAAGGGTTACATGTAAGAATGATAATATAGACAAGAGAACTCATAAGGAGGTTTTCGGGGTTGAGGTCGTTGACATTTTGGTGACCGAGGACAAGGGTGTGATCATCTTTGAGTAAATATTCAACTAGCAACTTCCCACTCATAGAATATTCTAAATGATGAGGAGCAAGTAAGAGACATGATTAATATTATTGCAGGTGAATTTGCAAGGGGTGAAAACACGAGTTTAGCCTAGGATATTTGAGAATTGTCAACAATTTCAATACATCTCAACTATTCAAGTTGATAACATTACGCCCAATCACTTTCATTGATGAAAACTTCAACTTGCATAATTCCAAGCATAATGATCCTATGGTTATCATTGTTTTCATTGCTAATTAGGAGGTAAAAAAGATATTAATTGATTAAAGAATCTCAATAAACATATTATATTGATCAACCTTTCTAAAAATGGGCATATCACATGATTTGACCAAACCTTACCCGAATCCTCTGACGAGATTCACTAGGGAACAAGTTCACACTCATGAATACATAGATTTGTTAATCACCTTTAGTGTAATAGAGAAAGTAAGAGTATCCTAGTAACATATGTTTTGATAGAAGAAAACACATCTTCCAATGTCCTCGTAGGCATATGACCCTAAATTAGCTCGAGCTATTGTATCCACACCACATATGGATATGAAATTTCCAATTGAAAAAGGGAGGAGTGACACAATCAAGACATACCCTAGAAAGATTAGAGAATATACGCTTTTAGTCTAAATCTAGCCATACCTATTAAAGAGAACCATTAACAAGCCTTTCTGCCTGAATAAGAGTTTGCATTGCCAGAATAATATCAAAGAAGTTGACATTGATCCTCGATAGGAATCAAAAGAAAATGAACCAATTGTTGATTTTTAGATCAGATCTCAGTTTGGCCAAATAACATGAGTCGAGAGAACCACATATAAGGATATGCAAAAATGAATAGAAGAAGTGCTGCATAAAAATGTCAAGTGTAGCGAATATACTAGGCATTGATTTTGATTTCATTGGTCATAAATTTGTCATTTTACCTAGAGCTAAATATGTATCACAAAGAAAATGCAAGTTAGGTGAAAAGAGATGTAAGGTAATAGAACAAGAAATCAAAAAATTATTAAAAGTTACCTTTATATGAGAAGCAACATATATAGTTCGGTTAGCAAATATAGTGTTAGTAAAAAAAAATCTAATGACAACTGGTGTATGTGTGTTGATTATACTGACTTGAGCAAAGTTTGCCCCAAATATTCTTAGCCTTTGCCAATCATAGATGTGCTAGTAGATAATACATTTAGATATGAAGTTTTCAATTATTTTAGATGCATACTCGAGTTATAATTAAATACAAATATACTCACTTAATGAGAAAAAATTGTCTTCATTACAAAGGTAGCTTACTTTTGGTACGAAGTTATGTCCTTCGACCTAAAGAGTGATAGTGCAACTTGTTAAATATTGATGGACAAGATGTTTAAAGATCTAATAAGAGTCATAATGGAAATTTATATAGATGATATGATTGTTAATTTCAAAAAAGCTCGTAGTCATCGAAAACATTTAAAAAGGTTTTTGTTGAAGTTCGGAAACAAAACATTAAACTAAACAAAAAAAATGTATATTTGGAGTAGGTGAAGTAAAATTTTTAGGATTTATGATTATACAAAAAGGATAGAGGTAAACTCAGATAAGTGTGAAACTATTCTAGTAGTGTAGAGTCCACGTAATGTCAAAAAAATATAATGGTTAAATGGTAAATTAATCTTACTAACTCGGTTCATTTCCATGCTCGTTGAGAAAGCAAAATATTTTCTAAATTAGTAAAAGAAAACTAAATTTTGAATGGACGGAAAATATAATAAGATGTTATAAATAATAAAAAATGACATTGTTTTCGGATTTGTCTTGTCAAGCTTGTTCTTAGGATCTACTCTCTTCATATATTTGATTGTCACTAACTCGATCATAAACTTAATATTAGTATGTAAAGAGAACAATAAACAAAGTTTGGTATATATCACTAGTAGAATTTTGTAACTCGTATAGATAATATACTCCATCATAGAAAAATTGGTTTTGGTTCTAATTAATTCGACTAAAAGATTGAGATAATATGTTTAGAATTATCTTGTATTAGTCAAAATAAACTATCCAATTAGGCAAGTATTACAACAGCCTAAGGTGAACTAATGATATCATTGACTATCGAACTCTCAAAATTTAATATAACATATGAAAGTAGATGATCCATAAAAACTCAATTTTTAGTCAATTTTCTCATTGAACTTTAATAATGGATAACTCTTCGAACGATAAAGGTAACGGGATGAGATCATATTGAAAAGTCTTAATAATATAATACTTGAACAAACACTTAAGTTCAAGTTTCGAACATCAAATAATCAGGTTAAATATGAAATACTAATAATCAATATAAAACTTATAAGAAAAATAAGATTTAAATAACTTCGTTACATAAATAACTTGAAGATAATAACGAGACATATAAAATAGAGAATTTCAATTTATTATTATATGACCAAAAAACTTGATGGGTAATACATATCTAGATATGCATTTTCATTTTTTTTTAGTATCATTTTATTTTTTTAACATGTATAACGAATCAAATTAAATGGATAAATATAACAATGGAGAGAGGGATTACAAATTCTAAAATAAATAAAATGTTTGAAAAAAATATGAATATGTTGTATTAATTAGACATGACAATGAGGTAGAGATAATGATGAATTTTGTCTCCTCAACCCTTGTTGCAACTTTCTGAACCATCTTCAACCCTAGTGAAATTAAAAATTAGGTCTTTATCATCATTTTTATTGGGTTTCAAATTTTTTTGTCTCTATCTTATTCTCGCTCTATATTATTTCTAAAGGATAATTATACTCGATAATAAATTAATTTTAATATTTTTATATATTATTTTTATACATAAATAAATATTTATATTTTTATAATTATTAATTAAGTATACACTTTAATTTGTTATATTTATATATAAAATATATATGTAAAATAAATATTTAATTATTTTTATTAGAATATGAAAAATACTTAAAATATTGGTGTTATGGTATATTATAACATTATATTCAAATCTTTATTTCATGATAAGTTAATTAATTTTAAAATTTTAATAAATATGACATATATAATTTAAAAAATATATAATAAGTTAATTTTTATTTAATTAGTATAAAATAATAAAAATTTTAATTATCAAATTTTGTAATTCTTCAAAATATAATTATTTTATTAAAATAAATTTTGGTACATGATAAATAAAAATAATAAAATTTATGAAATATGATATAATAAAATTTAATAAAAATAAATTAAAAATAAAATAATATTAGATATTATTAAAATTGATATAAAATATTAAAAAAAATAATTTTATGTTTATCAAATTAATTAAAAAAAAGATTGAAAATATTTTAAAAAATTAAACAAGGGAGAGGTGAAAAAAATAATAAATTAATTGATTAAAAAAATTAAAAAATATTATATATAATATAATTTTAAAAAAATTAATATTTTAAAATTTAAATTTAAATATAAAATAAAATAAAGAGACGAAGACATCGTCACACTTGCACTGGTCGGTCATCAGTATCCCGGTCCAACTTTTCAAAGTGTGGTGGCGAGTATATATTATCTAATCGCCTTTCTAGTATTAATGTCATAAATGTTTCCGCAAATAAATTCAATAATTAATTGACTCAATAAAAAGTTAAGATAGTTACAGGTATTACTGTATTGTTATTACACTATATAGTATTCTCATTATTACCGGTTATGCCAGCATGTTTAACCGGTGCTCATCGATATTCGGACCATTCGTACGCTAATTTTCAATTGAAGCATCATTTTAAGCGCATATTTACATTATGGCTTATGCAACTAATTCTTTTTTTTTTTTTTCACTTTTTTCTCCTTTATAAATCAAATTACTTTTTATTTTCTTGTCATATTTATGTAACTAAATTTTCTTTTCACTGCATATTTCAGTATTCTAAAAATATTATATCAATCATTTAAATGTATTATAAAATGTTTACTTAAAACGAGGTCATTTATCATAAATGATTGTAAAACGACATTTTTTTACCATTTAAAAAAATATAAAATTTTAAAATAATGTAAAAAACAACTTAAGTAATAAAAAATTAAAAATTTAAAGATAAAATTCGTAAAATAATTACAAATAAGTGATGAAAACAAAACATGAATATATATATATATATATATATATATATATATATATATATATATATATATATATATTAATCCATCCATCTTTCCGGAGAGACTATGGGAGTGTTGCTGGAAGTTTCGAGGCCCTCAGTTTTAGTTTTACAGGAATTTGCACTCCCCACTCGTCAGTCTTGTCCCAGTTTCAGATCATCTTTTCAAAATTTGTCGAAACTGACAAAAAAAAAAATTTACAGAAAAAAACAAACCCCCATTTTCTTCTGTATCAATTTCACCTTTCACTAAAGTATTCCAAATTCAAAATTCAAAACTAAATAAAGGACAATGTCGTCCACAGCAAAAAATGTAACCTCTCTGTTCACACCTTCCTTCTAAGGAGTCTATAAATAAATGTAAAATAGTAATCTCTTCCTCACAGTATCATCATCATTTTTACTTCCCAAAGCCATGTCTTCTTCTTCACTGTTTCTATCCACTTTCTTCATCCTCACTGTCACCACCCTCACCTCACCGACGTGTGGACTTATCCTAACCCTCGTTAACAACTGCAACTACACCGTGTGGCCCGCTATTCAGCCCAACGCCGGCCACCCTGTCCTGGCTGGCGGCGGCTTCACCCTCCATACCCTCACCCACCTCTCCATCCCGGTCCCCGACGCCCATTGGTCGGGCCGGGTCTGGGCCCGCACTGGCTGCACCTACTCCGGCACCGCCTTCTCCTGCGCCAGCGGAGACTGCGGCGGCCGCCTCCAGTGTAACGGTGCCGGCGGTGCTGCCCCCGCCACTCTGGCGCAGTTGGAGGCCCACCACGGTAACGGCGACTACGTCTCCTACAGCGTGAGCCTCGTGGACGGTTTTAACGTTCCCATGACTGTGACCCCGCACGAGGGCAAAGGCGTGTGCCCCGTGGTGGGTTGCCGCACCGACTTGCTTGCCACCTGTCCCTCCGTACTGCAGCACCGTGTGCCCGCCGTTCACGGACCCGTCGTCGCGTGCAAGAGCGGGTGCGAGGCTTTCCATACGGACGAGCTCTGCTGTAGGAACCACTTCAACAGCCCCAACACGTGCCATGAGTCAGTGTACTCATCCTTCTTCAAGCACTCGTGCCCTAACACTTTCACCTTTGCGCATGACAACCCCTCCCTCATGCACCAGTGTTCCTCCCCGCATGAGCTAAAGGTTATCTTTTGCCACTGAAAGAGACTGAGCCTTTGTTAAGGTTTGGGTCATTGTTTGGTGACTCGACTCTTGTCTTTCCAATTACATTCGAGAGTGAAAGGAAAGTTCGCGAAAAGAGAAATAAAGAAAAAGTTGTCGTGTGTCGTCGTTGGAAAAAATGTTTGTAATTTCTTCAGTGTAGTTTCTGTGTCTTGTTTCTTGAAAAAAAAATGTAATCTAAGTTGTGTTGTTAAGAATAGAGCTTCAGCTTTGTTTTCGTAGTTCTGTTGTTATCTGGAAGGATGAACTTCATCTTCTTGCTCCTGCAGCTAGATTCTACAAGGATTGTGATGATGGTACACTTTGAAAAGAAAGAGACCGATCCACCTTATTGGCTCTTTTCTCGAGGATTTGATTCTTTTTAATAAGAGAAAAAAAAGAGTACCGCGTATGACACGTGATTTCGGTCCTTTTTCTTTTATACTTCTGACAAAACCAACGGGTTTTACTTTTACAGGATTAGATTATTTTGAATTGTAATTTTGTGTATTTTTGTCATTGTTTGCTTTAAAATGAGTAGGTGATACACGTTTGATTTGATGACAAAGAAATCTGGGAAGAATCTTGTTCTTTCGATAGAGGCAGGGATCATCGTCAGCAATATGTTTAATGCAGGAATTTTTTCATGTTTTAGTCACGACATACCAACCAGCAACTTAGGTGTATTAAATGAATTTATTTTTCATAGTTAGTTTTGAACTGATAAATTTAGTTAAAATTTGAGTTTAAACTGTTTATATTAAAATATAGTCAATTTGAAAGGGTTGGATTAAGTTAATTGAAAATTTGGAGTGTACTTTCCGTTCATTTTGAATTGTTCAATCTTATGCAATGCTTCGAATTTCGGGATATTTTGTAGTGTCACCGAAATGGACTACTCAAACTTATCCTAATAGGAGTGGACATAATGAATAATCATGTGTGTTTAGGAGCTTTTTGAATGCACGTATCAACTTTATTGAAAGCAAAAATTTAAATTATTGCTCATGAATTCATAAGTTAAATTATGTTATGCTTATTTTTCATCACAATAATTTAGTACATATAAAATATTTTCATAGATTTTAATGTAAAATGATGTCTTTCAATATAAATATTGAGAATGAAAATTTGTTATTTTTCTAACAATTTTTTTTTAAACTTTTTTAAACTATCTCAACTTTAGTTAAATATGCACAAATCCGGTTGAGAAAAAGGCAAGGGGTGGAAGGAAAATTTGTTGGAAACTTATGTTGGATCGAGTACATTATGAGAAATAAAAATAAAAAGTGCTCATTAATTTATATATTTATAACGGTTTTAATAGTTTTATTTTATTAAAATATATTTTAGATTTTTTATTTATTAATTATAAATATTTTTCATGTCACTTTTACATAATTATTTATTTTTATATTATTATTATTATTATTATTATTATTATTATTATTATTATTATTATTATTATTATTATTATTATTATTATTATTATTATTATTATTACTCATTCTTTGATTTTATATAATTATTATACTCTCATATATTTTTGAATCACCATTTCATTTTTATATTATCGTCACACCTAGTGTGTATTGTTAGGTCATTTGTTGTGTCAAATATTTTTTCATTATTATGATTGAAAGATTGTTGTGTAAATCACGACATTAATGTTGACTCTCTTTATTTCTATATATTGTTTTAATATCTCAATTTTGATTAACGCACATCTAACACTAATTTATTCAATTAAAATTTATACTCTCACACTAATTTCATTCATTGTATTGCTCTAAAGTCCTAAGTTTGAGTAATGTACACCCAAGTAACATATTTCTGTTTGATAAGGGTTTCTATTTTCGTACTAATTATTTCTTCTAGTCTTTTTGTTTTGATTTCAATTCATTTTAAGAATAAATATAAGAGTAAATATATAATATCTACTTATTTCAATATTTAATGATTAATTAATATAAATTATTATTTTTAAATTAATAAATTAAAAATTAAATAAAGAGTAGATTTTTAACTTTTATGGTGGGACTCGAATGAATATATTTTCTTGTAATTTTTATATTAAATCATTATATTTAAAATAAAAATTAATATAATTTATATTTTAAAATACATTTTTTTTGTTATAAAAAAATAATTAATTATTTTGATATAAACACATTTTTTTTAATGTTATCTCGTTGACCTAACATGATCGATGAAAAATTATGACCCATTTAAAAATTTAGGTCAGGTTAGACTATCAACTTTTTTTACTTGGCTTGTAGGACCGGATAAGGTTGGGTTAGACCATCCATTTTGATAGCCCTACTAATTTTCATAAATAAAAAGCAAATTTTAAATATGATGGGAAAACACCGATGTTTACTACAATCATGATAGCAAAATAATTATTTAGAAGGCTAACCAAACTCTATAAATGTCCTTCAAAATGTTTTAATGGTGTTGAAGAGGAGTGAGAAGTCACCTGCAAAGACTTTTCAATGTTTAGGTCAATAAATGTATGAGTGAATAATGAGTAGTATTGAATGAGAAATGAGAGAAACATGAAACTTTTTAATAGGGTAGTGTCTGAGTATAACTACTTGAGAATAATAAGATATTTATCCTTATTTTACCATACATATGTTTATTATCTCAATTGAGTATCTAAGAATCATGGGATATTAATCTCTCTTTTGTCAGGTTATGACTTAATATCTCGAATAAGACCGAGTACCTCGGATAGGACCAAGTATCTCGAATAAGATCGATTATCTTTATCAATTATCCTAATAGTTAGGACCGGATAGGTACAAAAGCCCCTCAAGCTCACAAGCCGAATATATTATAAGTGTAATATTTTATGAGGATGAACAAATGACTGATTGTGTTAATTTATACTCATCGTTTTCGCGAAAATTTTTAAGCAAAATTTATATAGACTAAAATGAATACTTGCAAATAAATATTTGTTTTGAAGTAAACAAAATAATGCATCTTAAAGTAGCAAAGTAGTTCAAATAAAGTGTGGTTGAATAGCCTTTACAAAAATAACTTTATTTGTACCTTTCTATGTTCACTTTTGCATTTTTCGAATTTACATGAAAACATAAATATCATTAGAAGTACACAGATGTATCATAATGAGCTTGAATATGCATAACTTAAATTGGTTAATCTTAATAAGTTACATTGGTTAGCCTTAATAAGTTTAAGTGACTTTTGTAGGTTGACCTAAATAGGCTACGTGACCTTAGTAGGTCGACCTTAATAGGTTGATTATAATAGGTTTGATGACCTAACTAGGTTAACTTTAATAGACTCAATGATCTTAATAAATTGGTCTTAATAGTTTCGATGACCTTAATATGTCAATTTTAATAGGCTTAACAACCTCAGTAGGTTGGGTTGGCTTTAATAAACTTAATAACTTCAATAGGTCGGTCTTAACCATTTTAATATGTCAACCTTAATCTCACCCTTTATGAATTGTCATATGGTATATCAATTATAGTAAGATTTTAGATGAGTGGCAGTCCAAATCCGTGGTACAAGTTTATCGTGTCATTATTTATGGAATCAAATATTTTATATGGTCCATCCTAGTTGGGTGCCAATTTCTTCACTTTTGTTCTCTGAGATTTCCCAACTTTTCTCTGGATTAAATCCTCTTTATGAAATTTTTAAGGTCAAATTTTAGAATTATATCGCCTTGTGGCTCTTGCTTGAGCTACCACTTTATTTATTTTTGTTATTTCTCGAACTTTATGAACCCATTCGAGTTCATCTCATAATTTTCCTTCATTTTGTGTTTCATTAAACATTCATCGTCTTCATGGTTCTTCACTTATTTCAATCAATCTAATGGCATCAATGTCATATGTAAGTCAGAAAGGGGTTTCTTGTGTTAAGGATCGAGTGCATAGTGATAACCCTACAAAATGTTGGAAATCTTTTTGGGCCATAAACCTTTTGCTTGCTTGAGGTTCTATTTATTAGATGAACTGTCACCACTTAATGTCCATCATATTATTATTCTCTTAGTGAGGGTAGCTCTACCAGTAAATTTACTAGGAATGGTGCTTTCATCAGGCCTCTGATTATAAAACGCAAGTCAAACTTGGAAAGTTCTATCAACCATGTTATCATCCGCTCGACCATTTCAGGTTTTTGTAGCATTTGTATTATTGGATAATTTGTTTTGACTATTATGCTAAAACTTTAGAAATATAAGCATATCCTTCCAGCTAAATTGACTAACGGTAGAACCATTTTCTCTATGGTGGAGTATCACTTTGGTGCTTGTAATATTCGGCTAGTAAAATATGCAGGAGTTTGATGTTTGTCATTGTAATGTACGAGAACCGAGCTAATGGTTGATTATGCCACTACTAGGTAAAGGTACAAGGTAAAGTTCAGTGAAAAGTTTATTAAAGTCGATAAAGATGCAATATTGTTTTTTATGAGTTGAAACATATTTTCACACTTCTCCATCCACCTGAAGGTTTATGAGTTTTTCAGTAACTTAGAAAAGGGTTTGGCTTTCTCAACCAATTTGGGTAGGAAACATGCCAATGTTATTAGTTTTCCATTTATCCTATGTACATCCTTCATGTTTCTTAACCGGGTTTGCCTTGATGTCATGTTGAGTGATCATGAACACTAAAAAACTTGCCTCTGCCCATGTTGAACACATTTTTATTATTATTTAAAGTGCATATTATATATTCTTATTTCATAAAACACATGTTGTAGGCAGTGACGGATCTTGACCATTGTTGATCTTGGGGGGACCAAATAATATGTTATTAATAAATATAAAAGAAAGAAAGAAGATGAAATTGTGAAAAGATAAAATTGTAGATATATACTTAAATATATTAAATGATCATTAAGTTTGAGGGGAACAAAATCATAAATTTTATGAGAGTTACAAAATTGAGGAGGGACTGCGAGGATAAAATTATAAATATACAAGTAAATATATTAAATGTTCATTATGTTTG